CTGACTACCTAAAATGACATTTTTGATTCCTCTATTCTGACTCCCTTAGATTTTTTTCAACTCTATTCCTCAGAAAATCTTTCACCTTCCTATTTCTGATTCTCATAATCTCCGTTGCTCTCATTTTAAGTTTAATATTAAAACTCTGGTTTAATTTAGGAAATTGCTTAAGGGTATAGTGGTATAAGGTGATTTGTTTTGGTTCTTAACATGTCAACTTGTGTTACAATACATTGCAAAGAGATGTTTTTTCCCTTACTTGTCATCCAAGGGGCTCCCCTGCCCCTTAGGTTACAATTGTGAAGATGATAGCTTAATAAGCATGATCTCCCAAACCCCTCAATGTTTTCATTAAATCTGAAAGATTGCCAGCTAAATAAATACTTTCTGGATTTCAAAACAAGGTAATCGGTATTAGCTTATAAATAAAAAAGTCAGTTTATTGAGGATGCAATGGTGAAAATGGCTATATTTATGTGTCATTCAGTGCAGAGTAGATAATAACCTAACAGACACACATACTCATGAGATTATTTAAAAAGGCCCCATTTGTCCTCATGCCACACTATACTGTATTATTATCTTATTTTTAATCTTGTATTTGGCCTAATGTATATAATTCAAATAATGACTGTTTTTCCCCCCAACCTCAGAGAGACACACTTGCTTGAATTATCAGAATCCCAGCTTCACTAATTATTACCTAAGTTACTTTGGGCAGGTTTTTAAATTTCTCTATGCCTCAGTTTCTTTATCTATAAAATAGGGATAATGATCACACCTACCTCATTAGATTCTTTTTATTTTTTTAGTTTATTGATTTTTTACAGAGAGGAAGGGAGAGGGATAGAGAGTTAGAAACATTGATGAGAGAGAAACATCGATCAGCTGCCTCCTGCACACTCCCTACTGGGTATGTGCCCGCAACCAAGGTACATGCCCTTGACTGGAATCGAACCTGGGACCCTTCAGTCCGCAGGCCGATGCTCTGTCCACTGAGCCAAACCAGTCAGGGCCTTCATTAGATTCTTGTGAGCATTAAAAAAATGAGGATATGTGTAAAATACTTGGAAAAGCTTCTGGTACTTAACAATCAGTCATCATCCTGATCCTCCTCTTCCTCCTCTCCCTCTTCTTCTCACCCCCCCTCCCCACTCCTCCTCCGAATCATCATCTTACATGGGTTATTATCTGTACAGGAAAACCTCAAATGCTCTGGTTGACAGTGGAGGGTTAACAATAAAAGCATATGTATTCAAAATGGAAATGCAGGACAAAATACTACCTGTCAAAGAAAAAAGGCATCTGTGGTAGAGGCTGGCTAAATGCTCTCAATTTCCATATTATGGACATTCAGGAAGACTATATTTCCCATCATTCTCACAGATACACGGGTATGTCACTGGTTTCCAGTCAATGGCACCAGGATAGAAGTGATGCACTAACTTTCAAACCTCACAGGTATCTCCAATGATCACCTGTCATACTCTTTCCCTTATCTGACCCACTCAGAGGCCCTGTATTTCAGATAGTGGCCCCATGAGATGGGAGAAACAGGGTTCCCTGCATTCATTCCTGGAGAGTCAAAAGTCCTGTACCAGACTGAGCCGTGAGCAAAAGCAAACCTGTATCACATTAAGTTGTTGAAATTTCTGAGTTTATTTCTTATAGCATCCATTCTTAATGTTCACTCTGCTTATTAAGCTAATATCACTCAGCCCTAAATCTATTCTAAATTCTGTTTTAAGATGCTGGCTTCTTCTAAACCCCAAACGGTGGGACATAACACTGATATAAGTGTTGAATAACACAGGTCCAATAAAAATGCACATATGAATTGCCCTGGCCAGTGTGGCTCATCCTGTACACCCAAGACTGTGGGTTCGATGCCAGGTCAGTGCACATATCCAGGTTGTGGGGTCAGTCCCTGTGGGGGCAAATTTGGGAGGCAACAGATTGATGTTTCTCTCTCACATCGAAGTTTCTCCCCCTCTCCTTTCCTCTCTCTCTCAAATCAATAAAAACATATCCTCAGGTGAGGATTTAAAAAATTACATTTGAATAAAGTGACTCAAAGCAAATATGAGCTTTAGAGCTGAAGTATCAAACTTAATAATACTTAATAAATAATAAAGTTAATTGATAGCTAATAATATTAATGAACTTTGTAAATAAACTTAATAAACTTAAAGTGACTCAAGGTAAATATGAGATTTAGAGCTGAAGTAAAACTTCTCAATTGAACAAAGTATATCATCAGATTAAGTATGCAGTCCTCCTGTCTATTTTTTAAGGTAATATCTTGCCTATTTTTCAAGATAATATCATCTTGAGAGAGAGACATGGGAGAAGAGCAAGTCAAGGGCACCCAAAAAAGGACTCTCCTAGGCACATGACTATCTGGAAGCCAATAGGTCAGAACCTTATAAATATTTCAGAGGGTTGTAGCTGTAAAATACCACAATCTCAGCAATATGAGTCTTAAAATATTTAAGACTTAACACAACTTGGTCCCATCATGTTCCCTTAACAGGAACAATATTAAGGGTATACAACCCTCAATAGGCACTTGAAATGTGGACAAGGAGAATAGTAGAAAAGGAAGAACTTCCCAGGCGGGGCGTAATGGAGGCTGGAGAGGACCATGGACAAGGGAGATGGACAAAGCCTCTCCCAGGACCCTCCCTGACCTCTGGTTTAGGAAGACTTTCCAATGGCTGCCAGTAGGATTTCGCCGTTGGTTTTCACATGTACCTCATTCTTTCTCTTCCCCAGCATGAGCGTTTATTGTGGTTTTCCTCTTCCTACTCCTTATCAGTATATTGGAATGCATGGTCAGAACTGGTGCAAAATACAAATAATTTACTCATAGGGGATTCACTGTGATCATTATTTGATGCGGACAATGAGTAAGCAGAGCTCACAGACTGAAGATTTTAGTTATCTCTCTTGGAATGTAATAAATCTTTTTCAGGAGAGAGTGGAAGTACGACATGAATATTTGGCAACTAGAAAGTGGACGGTGGCGGAAAGGGGATGCTCATGAGTTCCACCTGCTTTTCCTGGCCACCTAGCTGCCTAACATTTCCCAGCCTCCCTTACAGTTCAGATGGGGCCATGAGACTAGGCTCTGTGCAATGGAAGGATGTCCACACATTCAAGTCTGCTCTATAATAGTCCATGCACACGGGCCCATGTGGTCTCTACCCTTTCCTCAGTGAGCTAAGAGGCCATGGGCTTAAAAGAAGGCAGTAGCAAAAGATGAAAAGAATCTACATCTTTGAATCATCATTTGACAGTGAAACATCAAGGAGAGCTGCCTAAGGGACATGGGCTATGACATGAGAAAGAAATACTTGATTTGTTGATGTTAAAAAAAGAATTTTTCGAGGTTATGTTACAGTGGCTGACGTTTATCCCTCAACACAGCATTAGATTTTGAAAGATTAATTATTAGATTTAATTAAATTGGTAACTTGATGTTTTTTTTCTATTTGAATGGGAAGAAAATGTCACTCAGGCAGTGAGATAGTGTGGTAAAGTAGAAAAAGCCTTAGCTTGAGAAACCTGGCCTCAAGTAAGCCTTTTATCATTTACCAGCTAAGTGACACCTGTGGAGTCAATTAATTTCTCTGGGCCACAGTTTTTACATATCTGTAAAATGAAGCTAATATTATGTTACCCAATTATAAGAGAAAGCCAGGCCAAATGTTTGCTCAGGATTTTTTATGGTTTTGATCTATGGTTCTATGAAACAGGAATTAAGCACTAAAACCACTGAAATGAAAGCACAGGAGTGATTTTTTATTTAAAAATTTTTAGCTACCGCATGATACCTGACAAAGTCCAGCTTTATGAATAAATATTGTGTAACACGTGTTTCAACAGTGTTAACTCATTCTAAGCAGTCTTATTGGAAATAATAATTTATAGAAGAGTGAGATGAAACAGGGCAGATGATAATTTCAAAGAATTTATGTCCCAGAACTTTATCCAATCGTTCTACATACATGTCTCCAGACGCTCAGCCCTTTTCCCACAAACTAAGAAGATGAAACTTAAGGAAGACTCCCCCTTCTATATTTTGTTATCTGAAAGCCTATTCCTTGAGATGTTTTTTTCCTTGAGAGCCACTCAACAATGTTTGCAAAAGATCACTATTTCTATGTAAAAGTAATATAAATTATCAAATGACTCCAAAGTTAAAAACAAACCTAAAATCTTTGCTTATATTTAATTATATGTTCATCAACTAATACATCAGGCTAATAAAAACACTGGTATCTTTATGAAATGGTAAAACAATTAAAATATATTTCATATGTTGAAATAAAACAGAGAGACTAAATGGAATTTTCCTTCTGTAAATCAAAATGAAGAATGTTACAGCAAAAATCTAAACAAAGAGCTTTTAAAAGCTTCGTTTGCTAATGAGTTTTCCTAATCACTGGGAAATAATGGCTAACTGAAACTGTGCACTTAAACTTAAAGCTGAAAACTAAACATAAGAAAGTATATTATTGAATTGTCTTCCAATCACTTTTGCAATTATTTAACTCATAATTTTACATAAAATTATAATTTTTGAATCCCCTTTCCAGACATTTTTGGAATATATATTAAGATATATATGATTCTCATTTTTCATTGTTTTTGGATAACTCTACTCATTTTGCTCCATTGATTCCATTACACAATAATAGAATATAAGATACAAACTTTAAATATCTCTTCATCATCCCTAACATAATGGAAGGGCAAATAAATAGAAAGAAAAATAAATTGTTAAATATGAATCAAACATGATTATTATATGACATTAAGATATTTCTAGTAATATCCATTAACAAAATTGAATCTATAAGAATAAAATACTAGTACAAATGCATATATTACTGTAAACAAAAATAATGTGTACTTAGAGACTCATTCCTCTCCCAATTTCCTTAGCATTCTATTTACATAAAAGCCATTTTGAGGTAAAGTAACTTTTCACTCACCAACGTGGAGGTTTGTGAGGCATCAGCCAAATCCCCTGAGATCTCGGGTGTTCGCGTGTTGTTTGGGATTCTGTGAGGGTTACGGGCTATCGCTTCGCACCAGCCCAGCATTTTCTCCTTCCTCTTATCCCTTTTCAATTTCTGAAATTCTGAAAATAATTTACATTCCCTGAAACAAGTCACGTATTTTTGTTGTCTATTTTTGGAAAATGTACATAATTGAAATTAAATAAGCAATGTAATAAAATACCAATGGAGAACATTTTATTTTAACCAGAGGTTATGGAGAGGAAAAGAAGAATATGCTGATTATTAATAACATCCCAGAGCCACAGGGAAATGAAAACTGTACACATATATTCAAGGAGCCTACTATGTACATCCCAATTTGTGACCCTTCTTGACTGTGGACATTTCTTCCATCAGGTTCTAAGTGTTATTTCCAGGGATCAGTTTATAACATGAAATTCTTAACTTGGGAGCTAAGAACAGACCCAGTTCCCTATACTAGTATATCTCCATATTTCAATGACACCAAAAATTTGACATAGCTTTTCATCTGAATGGCCTACAGATACAGAATAAATTGAACACAGGCCAGTGACAAAGATTACTCATTCTAGCAATGGTATGATTATCTCCTTTATAAAGTTCTTCCAACTAAAGAAGGATAAATTTTAGTACAAACATGGTAAACTTAGTATATGGCATCGATCAAATAATGATTTTTAAAAATCGCCTTATTATCTCACGAGTACAAATATTCCACAAACCTTGCTTTCCAGAACTTCCCATTTGGGGGAATTTTCTTCTTTTGGCTTTGAAAAAGTTATATCAACAATGTCTTTTAACATAATGAAGAAAACATTCTTTCCCTGTAAAGTTTTACAGCCTACTTTTCCACTCCAGCACTCTCAGTAATTAGAAATAGTTTATTGCGGGTCTTTAGTTAAATGCATTACACTGTCAATTAAATATCAAAAATAATGTGGAGTAATTATTTTTCACAGCATAGAAAGCAATTAGCAATCTGGTGGTTTATAACATTTCAGGGATTCAAAATAGCACATTTCATAGCACTAAGAAAAGTAACACAAAGAAAGGTTGCACTAACAGATTGATGAGTTATTACTCTAAATGACAAAATACTCAAGTTAAATGGATCTGAACAATGTAAATAGAGAAGTTATAAAATAGACTTTCATAAAAATTAAGTCTAAGATACTCAGTGGAATGGATTTCTAAATTAGACTGGTAATCTGAGTGAATCATTCATCTGAGGTACAGGGAAATGGTGAGGGAGTTTGAAAACTATTATTTGAATGAGCAACAAATTATTAATGCTTGCCCTTTCAAACGCATTGCTTAAGATTTTATTGAAAATTCATATCCTATGTTCTACAAAATCTGCATATCCAACTAATTTGCACTCCACGGAAAGTAAGTATTTCTGCATTCCCCGACACAATATCTTGGTTACTCATCAACTTTAAATTACATTTCTTGAAGTGTGCTAAGAGTAAATGAAAATTAGTATCTTTATTCAAAGGCAAGAAGTGCAATGAAACATAAGGACCAAAACAATTTAATCAAGTATAAACAAATGTTCTGCTGTAAGTCATTTGGATTTTTTTGTGTGAAAAGTTTAACTCTATATAATTAAATACACTTTAATAGTTATAATAAAATGTTGAATTCATGCATGAAAAAAAGCATAATAAAGTGACCCACAAAATGATATCATCATTACCCATTCTGGGATATGTTTTTAAAGGCTGCCAATTTCTTATTCCCCATTCAGTTTCTGAAATTAAATAAAACAGTTTAATTTTATTTGCAGCATGCTTTTGTGGTGATGGTGGTGGCCATAGCTATGTTCCTCCTAATTCAGTCAACATTAATCCATAAGTATTTATTGAGCCCCTATTATGCTATAGGTACTAAAGAAGGCATAGAAGAGTCACAAGATGAGAGTTACTTTCATTTTGGATATGAGTTCAATTCAGTGCAATATTCTAGAGAACTTCAAAATCCAAGAATAATTCAGATCTTTCTGACTCTCTAAATTTTGGATTTGTAAACTTATTTGTTTAACTCCAAGGTGACTTCCGGCTCATCTTGATCTTAGATGTCTTCCCTGAAGTTGGCTTGTGCAAAGCATCCTTTTGGACCATTTTGTTGAATTGCTATCAACATGTCATCATGACAAGAGTATTAAACTTTTTATTATAATTGCTAAAGGAGTATAATATAATGTCATCTGCATTCTAGTTTTGTTTTGCATGTGACAATTATTATCTTAATTCTAGAATGATTAGGTAAGCTATGTAATTCAACAAGATAAATACATACTATTTTTACCTAAACACTGTGCTTATGATAATCACTGAATGCTTACTGTGGACACTGTACTGCTCTCTGTTGTGTCAAAACAGGAAAGATACATGATAAAATGTGATGGCTTACATTGAACTGGGATCTATTCATGGGAATATTTACAAAGAAAGTTGAATTTTTTTAAATATATTACTTTATTGATTTCAGAGAGGAAAGGAGAAGGAGAGAGATAGAAACATCAATGATGAGAGAGAATCATTGATCGGCTGCCTCCTGCACATCCCCACTGGGGATCGAGCCCGCAACCCAGGCATGTGCCCTTGGCCGGAACCGAACCTGGGACGCTTCAGTCCGCAGGCTGACGCCCTATCCACTGAGCCAAGCCGGCTAGGGAGAAAGTTGAATTTTTGAAATGACAAGAGGAATCTAACTACAGCCTTTATTTCAACCTTTTACTATTTGAATGAAGATATATGAGAATATAGAAACTGCCTATGACGGTTATAAAGCTTCTGTTAGAGTCACCGAAGGAGGAAGAGAGAAATTTTGTCTAACAACTTGCTCTGCATAATATGCACCAATGACTTCACCATTTACCTTAGAATCAAAGAATTATAAGCAGAAGAAATCAATGTTTAAATGGCCTCCAAAGAAGCAGCATGGGTGTAGGCAAATTGAAAGGGAGAGAGGTGGGGGGAAAAGCGAGAGCCACTTCCTGTGGGTAAGAATAGTTGCTCAAGACAATATCTTATTTTCTGTTATTACAAAACACTAGAGTTTAGGTCACATTTCAAAGGAATCTTTTTTTGTACCATTGATGATAGAGATTTAGAAATAGTTTAGGTGACTTGAGATAACTGAAGGGTTAATAATGTCGATTGTTGAGCCTCTGCAGACCATCATTCTTCCTACACAGGTCTGGAGGACTCATCATAATCTTAGGGGTAAGAATGTACTGCCAGTCAGCAGAGTAGGCAAATTAGGAGCATTTGCAATTAACCCTAAAGCACTTTAAACTGTAAGTATCATCAGTATTATATCAGAATAGGAAAGTGGTCATTAAGCATTCATGTTAATTGCTATCTAACCATTGAACCAAGCTAATATGAGATACAGCAATGAGCAACTTACTTAATGATCACAGGAAATTGAGATTTAACTAAGCTTAATTTTTAATATGCTACTTCAAGCAGATATTTAATTTAATAAAATAGGAGCACAGTGCATTCTCTGTGAACTAAATTGACAACATTAAAATTAGGAAGAAAAAAATTGCAAGGCAATTGGGTATATCTCATGGAAAATTATTTACTTTTAATTCAAGGAATTGTTTACTGAAGACTTCCTTTGTGCCAGACACTGTGCTTGGAACCATTGGCTCAAGCGTTAAATCCTGAGCTCAGGCATAAGAGGGGAAACTGACAAGCAGATTCACCAACTATTGATAGTGTGCTAAGTTCTGTGAAAACGTTGAGAAAAGGCATCTGACTTAGCATCAACTGAAAGACAAGGTTGATTTTGGATGTCTCTCCAAAGAAAATAAAATTACAAATAATTTACATGAGAATTACAATTATTGCTATGCCAAAGGAGGCTGCTACTACCAGCTGTGTACACAACTCCAGGGGGCATCATGCACAGGGTAATCAATATAAATAGCATTGGGCTCCAAGGGCTGCTCTTAATAAAGAACACTGTGTGAATGGTGTGCCTGGAGTTGGACAACCCTGCAGAAAGAAAGCCTAAGTGAAGCTCATTACACTTACTTTACCGAACCCAAGCCTAATGTAATTTAATCTTAAAATAAGAACTTTTTTCCCCACAGAAAAAAAATGCTGTTGCCTGCCTCTACCTTGCCTCCCTACCTCCTCAACTTTTTCCTTCCTAAAATTTGCCTACTCCTTGTCATAGCCAGTAGAGTTAGAGGTCTGGCCAAATGCTGTCCCTCTTCACCATACACATACCTGAGAAAGTCCCCACCACCTCTACTCCTACAGATAATCATCCTCAAATTTAAGTCTTCTGTATAGACTTTGTCTAAAAATGTGAAAGGACTTTTCACTTGTAAACTTGAGACATTCGGCTATATATTTCTTAGAGTCATTAAGAAACATGTTTCAAATATTGAACACTGCCCCGAGAATAACATTGAAGTTCAATCTCCATTATGAAAGAAACAACTTGTAAATCAGGGAAAGGAAGGGACAGTTAGAAATATGCTTCCCTTGTTCATTTAACTGCATATTTCTGAAAATTAATATTTGTTCCTTGGCGGGGTGTGCATGTGTGTGCCTGTGTGCATGTGTGTGTGTGCATGTGTGTGAAAGTTCCAAAAAGTACTTTCTAGATGCTCAAAAAACTATAACATGCATGCCTAAAACTCAGACAAACTCTACTCTGGAATCCTGTGTGGTTGTTTTAAAGTACTCACACACAACTATGAATTGTTCTTGAAGACTTGGAGTCTTAAAAACCACCAAGGACTGCCTGCTGGGATGAATTTTGAAAGTCTTTAGACCAGATAGTCTTTGGATAAGGTAACGATATTTCTTAAATTCACAAGATGAAAATGTGCATTGGGCTTTCTAATTTCTATGCGTAGGATGTGAGGTTTCTCAAAAGGAAAGAGAGGTTCATAGTTTTATTCTACAATGTGGAACACTAACTGACATAGAGCCCAATAAATAATTGTGATAATAAGATGCATGATGAGATAAAGAAGAGCTCTTCTTTGAGTAAAGTTAGGAAATGGGGAGAAGCAGAAGGTGACTCATAGTGAAGGTTTAAATTCTTAAGTGCTTTTGCTTGGACT